AAAATTTTAACTATTTAGAAAAGTTATTTAAAGAATATACCATTATATAGAAAAAAGTATGCTCTTTCCTTTGCCATGGTCGGAAGTTCGAAAATCGGCTTAGAAATATCAATTTTTTTCAATTTATAATTGAAAAAACCGTAAAAATTCGCTATCGAACAATACTCAAATTTTGTCTATATTCTTCATAAAATTTTAATTTATACATAAATAGTAATATATAGTTTTAGACACTTACAATTGAATTTTGATCCACTGTACGCTACCGCTAATCTCTTTGAAATAAATTTTTTTTCAATAGCTCTCTCATAAACCCAGAGATACTGCTACCAAACTCACCGGCTCCTCCCCCTAACTTCCTCTTTAAAATTACCTTTTTTTTTTGCTATTTGCATGAATAATTGTAATTTGTTTTTTTTGATATTACTTATAAAATATAGATTTCTTTTTTATCAATGACACAAAAAAATGATAAATTATAAATTATATCTATAACTGAATTATCACTTCTCGGAAATTTTTGGAGTGTTGCTGGAAAATATTCAAATATTTAAAGTTGGCCCTCATAATCCTAAAATCCTGAAACACTTAAAATTATTCATTATTAAACTATTAAAGTATCAATTAGTTAGTTTGCCTTATCATTATTCGTTAACGGCTATTGGTAAATTTATATTTATATATATTTACGCTTTTATAATGTTTAATGTTAGTTAAAAAAACGTCACGGTAATGTCTAATTTACAGGATGCCTAGATAGTACTTGCCATTAGTACCTACTAGTTACTTGCACCTATTAATAAAACGGTGTCATTGTAAATGCAAGTAAATAGAACCAAATTCTATTTACTATCGGTAAGTAAATGTCCTCCCCACGACTATACTCTACACGCGGCTACACTCGCAACGTGTAAAGACATAGTCCTATTACGAGAGACATACCAGTGCGAGTTACAAGTACTAATGACAAATACAACGCATCGTTTAAACCAGTTATAACAAGTAATCGATAACCGAGAATACAAATCGACATAAAAAACGATAATTGGTTTTAATTTTCCAAAAGTCCGAGAAATGATGGTTAGATGTTTATTTATTGGGCGCAAAAACCCTCTCCAGGCATTTTATATCGTAACATTAGACCCATTACCTTTGTTGTAGTAATCCAACTGAATGTCGTGTAAATAGAGATGTAATTTTGAAGAGAAATAAAATCGAATTTTTAAATTAATCATTAAGAATAATTTAAAATGTATTTTACTGGTTCTTACTGTTGGGAGTATGTTCACTGTTTTGTATCTATAATCTACATATATAATCTATTGATGCATCTCGTACACACTATTATTATAGTAGCGATAGTTGTAATTCAACATAGGTATTGAGAGAGAAAACGAAAATTTTACTTTGATATTAATATAATTAATACAATTTATAAATATTTTTATTAAACTTAAACATATAAATTAGATTAGAATGTACATATAATATCCAATTTAAACTTTTTTGTTTTTTAACAAAATAATATTGTGAAATATATTCATACTCTTAAATAAACTTTTTCGTACCTATTATAGATAGGTATAGATAATAATATTATAATCTAATAACAAAAAAATATGCATATTAATATTTAAAATACAATATTATATGCAGTATATAAATTTTATGTATCATTTTTGTGTTCCGAATCTTTTGATTCGTTAAGTCTACCAGCTTCAAACCGCCTTAGCCTGTCCTTGGACATATTCCGAGTATGATTATCATATTCTTCTACCAATTTCTGTTTTGCCTCCTCATAATTGAAATTACTGACGTACGCTGGCTTTTTCTCGCAAAATGCATCTGGTGTAAGCACCGTGCTATCAAGTGCTACAAGTAAGAATATAGATTAATAGGAATATTTAATTAGGTCATAATTGTATGCATTAATGTAATAATATATTATACTAGTATTAATATCGATTATAATATATATAAAATAAGATTATAAATTAAATATCTACCTAGAGTTAAAGTTAAGCTAATACTGTGAATAGTTTATTCTAATAATCCTTGTCCGTAAATTTCGAAGATTTTGAATGAATTGAGGAATGTAACTATTAAGTGTTATTTTAGATTCTGAGCGGTTCGAGGAATTTTTTGGTTTTACAATGATGTTTTTTTTATAATTTTTTCTGTGATTAACTTTTCTACCAGTAATTTGACTCCAATTTTCAAGTATAGTATTTTTTCTGAAAGGAAATTGAACTGACGCGGTACTTTAGGGACGTCATTTTTTTATTTTCCCAGGGGTTCTCATAATAAATTTAAAACCGGACAAAACATAAGAAAAACGAAAAAAATTAACTAATTTTATTATTTGTAAATCTTAAATATTACGGCCCTTTGAAAAATGTACATCCGAACTCCGATCAGAATTATTTTTCATTAATAATTTTAATTCATTGTGTACAACTTATGTACATACATTCAATTTCCCCTCTACCTTCCTAACTTCTCAAACAAAGCAGCGGCCAATCCATCGTGCAAAATATGACTATTTATTTTTTCTTTTGACCAGAAATATTGTTTCAATCATCAGCATCATGGGTTTCTGATAGAAAATCTCATTAATATATTAAGAATATAATTTATTATTGATTTTGCTTAATTTTTTTAATTTATGGGGAAACGTCAGAAAAACTAGATTTTTTTGAATTTCAAATTTGTTTTTTTCTTACAATGAAAATACAATAAAAAATGATTGAAGAGACTTTAAATTGTTATCAAATAATTTTATTACCACTTTACAGACGTAGTACAATATTTAATATCTTTTGGTATTTTAGTTATTTATCACTATTTGAAATTATCGAGTATTTTGGGATTGTATGAAAATACATTTTGTGAATTATTTATATTAGAACCATTATTGCAGTTAAACATGATTATAATTTTCAATTAATAAATTTAAATGTACTAATAGTATTTTAAACTAAACTATTTTTTCCGTTTTTATTGATTAATCAATATCAATTGACAATTGAACTTTTTTGTAGAATTTTAGATTTAAATAATACATTGATGAAGTCATTTCTTATTTTCCTTTTTGTTTTCTTAATGATGGAAAAACTAGACATTTTTGTACCTAAACTAAAACTTTTATAGGTATTTGATACTTTCGAGTTTGTTTAAGTTTTTAATTGGTTTAATATGTACAAAATTATTTATGCTTAAATTTAATTTAATTACGGTATTTAAAGATATGTATAACATAACAATGCTCAGAATCGTATTTCTTTAGTAATGATCTATATCATTGCGTACAGATATAAATTAAATAGTTATATGTATACAAAACTCTCAACTTTTAACCTTTAACAATGGGACAAGAAATGTTAGATCTTTTTGTTTGGTGTTTTAATAAGAGCAATACTTTGAGAAGATGTTTCAAACAATTTACAATAACCAAAATAAAATCTAAACTGAGACAAGTGTCCAACTATGTATGGATAAGGTGTTGTCTGAATCAGACTGTCATTTAGTCCAGGCTGATTTACCAGGAAAATTTAAGACTTATTATATGAAATATTATTTAGACACAGCACATTTGGGTACCTTAAATGAAATATGTTCAGTTATAAATTAATTCACTGTTTGGATACACTATATATCCAATGAATGGGAAAAACGGGAAAATGTACTTAATGTAGTAATACATTAAGAAGCTTAGATTTTAATTATGATAAGAGTTTTGCTAATAAATGAAAAAACCAGTAAAAAACCGTAAGAAAAACAGGAAAATAGGTACAATATTAAACAAATATTATTAAAATAAATATTTAATATGTAAGTAATTATTTTACCATAATATTATGATATATGTATTGTTGAAAAAGCAACACTATAAACCGAATTCCGGTCAGAATAATTTTTCATTAGTAATGATTAATTAATGCGTACAGATATTTATTAAATTTCCATCCTATATTCAAAACTTCTCACCTAAAATATTGGCCCACCCACGTGTGAAGTATGTGCGTTTTTTTTATTCTCGATTTTAAATTTTCTTTAAAGTCTATTAGAGTTATCTAAGAGACACCAAAAGAAGGTTATTTCCTCAAAAATAAAATATTTTTAAGTATAAATATATAAACTATCTATTTTTATGATACTAATCATTGCTAACGAAAGACGACTCTAAATAGAGTTAGGTTGAATATGTTTTGAAAAGCTATAATATTTATGGTTTTCGTCAAAATTTAATTTTAAAATTCTTAAAAAAAAGAAATCCTTGTCAAATTTGCATGCATTTCTGTTTAGTCAAACAATTTTATCCACATAGTAAGTACCTATCTACCAAAATAAAAATTCCGTAAATAATTTATAGATTTAAAATTTTTATTCTATTTCTAAATTTCAGTTTAGAAATGACTCAAATATTTTAAAAATTCTATCACATCTAAAAAAAAACAAATATAAGTTTTCTATTAAAAAATAAAGTGTACGATAATGTTTAACTGAATTAAATTAAAAAAAGAACTGATATCGGGCATGGAAGCGGCTACTGTTGTAGGTGAGAAGTTGGGAAGGTAAGATACATAAGGTTATTTCATTTATATCTGTAAGCAACGACAAACCATTGCTTACCGAAAGACTATTCCGAGTGCAATTCGGTAATACATAATGATGTATAATTCGATGAAGTGGACTGTATAAACTATAATGTATTATTACGGTTAGTTATTAGGTAGGTACCTACGGTGGAAATTAAGCGAACACGATCTATTATTCTGTAATGCCGGAAAAAACGGCGTACTATTAAAAATGTAAACAAAATATATACAAGTAACAAATATAGGGTGCACAAAAGGTGCTGGCCAGCTAGTGGATAAAATGACTTAAGAATATAAATAAATTAAGTAACAAAAAAAAAAAAAAAAAACGTTATAAAAACCGTAGTAGCGACAGCAAGCAATCCCGGAACGGTTAACGGTAGACGGTGGTCTATATATGGTTGACGGTTGACGGTAGACGGTGTACGGTACTGAACAACGCGCGCCGAACGTAGGTAGTAAAAACGGTCGTAGCTACGTCGGTGGCCTGTGTTTAGGTTATCGCGTGAACAGCTGGACAGATGCGACTGAACACATAATTTGAAGTACCGTAATTTTTTTTGAGATTTTCGTTTAAATTTAATTTCAAAACGCTTATTAAAAAAGTCGTTCGATGATTTTGGAAATTTTACTACGTCTAAGTAAGTCTAATATAAGTATTATTACCAAGTTTCGAGTCTCTACGTGTTTTTATAACCAAATTATAGCAAAACTCCTAAAAATTAAAATTCCATAAAAGATCAAATGTGTCTCACCTTTTGACAATGACACCATAAAAAGGTAAATCAAAAAAGCAACAAAAAAGGTATCTTGTGATTTTTCGATTAAATCATTATTTCTGGTAGAAAACGTCGGCTTCGTTTTTATAAAATAATGTTATCGTGAAATTATAAGTTTTTCCACCGAAGTGCTTTTAATTAAAAAATGGCGTTAAAAATCAAAAAATGAATTACAATATAGACAACTTTAGCTTTCATAAAAGTTGTTATATGTAAAAACCGGAGCAAGTTTACTAGGAAAAACCGTGTCCACCGACTAGAATAAAGAAAGAAAGAACGAAAGAAAAAAAATAAACATCTTGCTACGCTCGGAATCTAAAACAAAATTTAAAATAATAAAGAATATTACATTTTCGTACATTTGCCCTTAATTTCTTCTTATTTTTCGGTTTTGCTTAATTATTAAAAAAACTACAATGAAAATCAAAAACCGACTTTATTCATCCCTAACTAGATTAGAAATTTAACAGAAAAGATATTTGTTGTGTTTCTATTGGAGCGATATTTCTAGTAGAAAACGAAAAGATTATACATTTAAAATTATGAAATCGTAGTGCCGTAATTTGAAAAAAATCGTATTTTTTGTCTTTTTTGGTTGTTCCCAATTATAATAAAGAATACTTTAGATATTATTAAACAACTAAGTTTCAATTGTTATATATTAAAAGAATTAAAAATCGATACATTGTCATTTTTCCATTGAAATAATATTTCTGGTAGAAAACATACATTGCAAAAGTTAAAAACAATGATATCGGTAACGCCGCGGGGCACCGTAAATATTTGCCATTTTACCTATTATTTTTCATTCATGTTTTTCTCAATGATTTTTCATTCGGGTCTTTTCCAATTATTTCGAAAACCCCTTGAAAAATTTCCTTTCAGAAAAGGTACTGTACTCCAATGTATAACATCAGAGCAAGATTTATTTTCAAAAAGTTCTTTATAGACAGAAAAAAAATAAGAAAAATCACACATCAAAGTAAAACCAATAGATTCCTTGCTAGTTGCTATGCTTCAAAATCTAAAAGTATTGATAACTTATATTTATAAAGATTGTTTTCTTGTTTCGTTGTTAAGACAAGGTTTTAACGGTGTTATATAAGTTGCCGGCAACTTAGGTAAGTATATTTATATTTTAACTAATATAGTTCTATTATTTTTTTCGCAATTTAAGTCCAGTACAACTTTTAATATATTATCTAACTGCTCTTAGGGGATTCGAGGTAAGAATAGGACCTTAGTAACTCTTACTTATCATAAAAGACGAAATGATGTTAACAGATAGGAATTCCGAACTTACAATAGTTCTTCATTCGGATATCCGAACTGTCTGTCATATTATCATTGTCGTGTTTAAGCGAGAAAAATAACTGTTGTCTAATAATAATAATAATATTATTATTACTATTATTATTATTAATTCACGTAAAAATACCATTTAAATTCGAAAAATCCATCAGGCGTTGAACATAATTATATGCGTCACCTATAAAATATAATCTTGTATTTATATTTATTTACTATAATTAAAACTACTTAATATTAACATTCATAAATACCTAAATAAATACTCAATTCGACAGTTTTTTATTTAAATAAATTACGATTAATCAATTGTATAGAAATACTCGATAGAAATGTAGAATGCATAATAAGATCGCAGAAAATTATTATATTTAAAATCTTATAGAGTTTTTCGGTTTAAAAATAAAAATAAAAACTTGACATTTTTCTTTCTATTTTCTTTGTGTTATAAATAAAAATACTAACCTATCCGTCAAAATATAAGAGTTATTAAACAGACTTGTTATACTGTACTTACTTGCTCTATCGATGTAAGTAAGTGCTATAATATTATAATTATATTATTATATTTATATAGAGTTGACATACAACAATTAGTAAATTATTAAGTAGATTTCAATTATCAATGTTTTATTTATACATAATATAAATAATCAGGGCCAGATTTAGGACTAAGGGCGCAACGAATTCAGCGGGCGCCGTGGCCGGCAGAACTCTTGATTTTTACAATTCATATCTGCGAATTTAATTTAACATTATTTATCATATTAAGTTAGAAATATTATTGAATATAATTATAAATACATATATTAAATATTGTTTATTTTTGTTAAATTAGTTGTTTGCTGTTGTGAAATTATAAAAATAGCCCGGAATTAGCCGAATATTCAAACTTTCAATAAGTAAAAAGGCGATTAAACTTTTTTTTTTATTATTTGTTGTTTCAGCATAAACTAAAAATTATTAGCTTACAATTTTGGATTAGTTTATTGGAAAAAGAAGAGTTGTTTACATGAGAATAAATTATATTTTATTGTACATTTCAATTTTATTTTGGTATCAGCATATGGTATAATTTCTTTATACAGGTTATCTGGAATTTGTCATTCTTCCCTGGCATCAGTCAAAATTGAACAGTATGTGTTCAATAGTGATACTTGTGTTACATGAAGGAGGCTCCGTTTTTTCTATTAGTTATCCATGTGTGATTGTAGTATGGCCAATTCCTAGTCTGTTTAATATGACTTCTTCTTTTCAGCTAAGATTGTAGAGTTTCGGTCAGAGTTCAATCGAGTGTTTAACTTCTCGAAACTTGTTTTCTATAATTAGGTGCCATTCTGAGTTCCATAAATTAGCACAGTGTACATCAATATTTTCATATGTGTCAACTAGTGACAAAAAATTAATTCGCTATTAGATGATTAATTGTTTTTAGGTTGCTTTATTTGTTTTCTCGTTATCCTGGATGTTACAATGGTCTGGTGTCCATATAAAATAAATGAATTTATTAGATTCGTAAGTCAAATTGTTCATTTTTATGATCGAAGAATATGTCCGTGCATTTTTTTCCAAATTAAACAATGTACTGAGAGAGTCGGAACAAATATCGATATTGGTATATTTGTCTTAAGGGTTATTTGAATTCCTTGTAACTAATAGATATATTTGCATATATTTATAGATTTAAGTATATTTGGATGAAACCAAAATAATTTTTGGAAATTAATCTCATCATTATCTAGATAATTTAAAATGTATATAGTACTGATATTCCTAATGATAAATATTCTTACCAACATTTATAAAGATTTAATTTAATAGTAATGTCAAAGGTCACTTGTATGAAAAAATGATAAATATTTAAATGTTAATTTGCTTACAAATATTAAAGAACACGTGTCCAAAATATCCTTTATTTGAATCTGAAAAAAAGTTACTCATTAATTATTATTATAGGGGAACTTAAGGTAAAATACCTTTAGGTATGTACGAAATCAGTCAGCCATTTGATGACACCTCTGTTATAACATTACTACATTTTAATAGCTATTTGACTTATGTAAAAAGTAAAATGGACAGAAATAAAGTCAAAAAAAGAAGTTTTAGATTAAATAGAGAAAAAGAGATATTTACTATACAAATTAAGATCAAGAATAAAAGACGATGGCATTTGATAGGTTACACGCTCAGATACAATGAAGGATTTATTATATCATTATATTGGAAGATATAATAGAAGAGAAGCGCCAAAGGGAAGCCAATATAAGTCAAATAATCAAAGATGTAATAGAGTTGATTTATATAAATAATTCAAATATATTGTACAAGATAAATAATCATAGAGAGAACATTCATTGTAGACCAACTTACGGATTGAATACTAAAACAAAAAAATCTATCAAATATTAATTTCGTAAAAAACTCAAAATGGTTTGAAATATTTTGAAATTTTTAACCCAGCTAGAAAAAGTAAGTATAAGTTTTTTGTCAAAATTGCAAGTCTTACAAATATTTTGAACTGAATTACAATAAAACACTAAATTCAAAATAATAAAATAATTAATTTTGTAAATTGTCCGATTCTTTTTACGTTTTTGCCCGATATTGCTCAATTATTAAATTAACTATTGACAAAATTCAGAAAAGGACCTTCTTCGACTAAAATGATCTCTTAACAGTTTAGATTAAAATAATATTTCTTATAGAAAACAAAGTTTAAAAAAAACGGACATACTTCGTACATGGGTGCAGCCGCTGTTGCAGGTAGGAAGTTAGGAAGGTAGGATACATAAGGGAATTTTATGTACATCTGTATATGAAACGATAAACCATTGCTAACTAAAGAATTTTTCTAAGCGGAGTTCAATTGATAGTGATGCTTTGTTAACGATGTATAAGCCATATTATAATAAAATAATAGGATTTATATATTTTCTTTAGTAATATTCATTTAATATTGTTTAATATTTTCTCGGTTTTTCACATTTGTTGGGAAAACTCTTGGGAAAATCGAAAAGTGACCATCTTAAAGTGCCACCCCAAAAAAATTTCCTTTCAAAAAAGAGTCTACATCGTATCGGAGTAATTTTTTTGGTAGTAAAATGAGGAATTTCGATAATTTACAGTAAAGAAGTAAACAACGAGATAAAAACGAGATAGGAAAGACTAATAACTAGTTACATAAAATATAGGTTGAATGTAAAGCTAGTATAAATACAGTAAATTAAATGTAGCGAGGAAACAGAGAAATAAAAAGGGAACGGAAAACAAGAAAACTAAGTGATCACATACAATAAATACTATAAAGCTTAACAAATAATATATAATTACCTTCATTTGGTCTCAGTTCTATGAACATAATTAAAATAAATAGCTTAAGAAGAATACAGGTTAAGAAAAAAGAAATTAGTTTTGTATTTTGTAATAAATAGGGTTTATTATATTATATTAATATAGTGGCGTTCGTTGTTGTTCTATTTAGATATAGGTATAAACAATGCTTCAACTTAATGGATTATTAATCTGAGTACAATCTTTGTTACTTAGGTAACTAGGGTATTAGATTTTTAAAGTTTTAGAAAGTAATAAAATAATAAAGTAAAAACAAAATTATTAAATAGTTAACATTCGTGATTAAATGTATAAATAAATAATTTATGTATATATTTTAAAGGTTTTATAAGTATTATTGTATTATAGTGATTATAAGTTTAGTTTTTGTTAAGAATTTCATTACTTTGGAGGTGTTTTTTTTTATTGAGAACTTCTTTCATATTGGGTGTTTAGAGACATTGATCCGTATATCCTGGTACTACAATTTTGGAAAATATGATGGACTCACAGGTCAGCTTGGCATTAATCGCATATGGGTGGACGATTTTTTCTAACGAGAAAAGAGTCAGTTGTGAAGTAGTATCCTATTTTAGCTCTCGTAATGACAACTACAACTTCCTGTCATCTGTTGTAGTGACGAGAAAATAGTAATCTTTTTTTATTTTTCTTAATAGTTTTGAATTTATTAATGAATAGGATGGAGTCAAAATAATTTTCCCACATAGTGAGTACTTTTAATTTGATATTCTTTTTGATGTCATTTGTCAGTAAGTCAGTTACTGGTGGAGAGGGGATTATTCTGGTTGCGAAGTCAGTTGGCTTATCAAAAATTTCGTTTCCGGTTATTATACTTACATGTGATGGTATATTCATATATATTTAATGATTTTTGGGTTGATTTTTATACTTTTTAGTTGTTTTAGGTAGTTTTATTTGAAGGTAGGGGATTTTTTAAAACTAGTAGAGCACTGAGTGAGTCACTTAAAATTGGTTTGGGGTTAGAAGAGTTGATGTTGGCTAAAATGATTGTTTCATAGAATGCTTGGAGTACAACTGAAAATATTATAGTTTCTGGAGTGAGCTTTTAAAGAAGTATGATTTTGTTTTGGATAACTGCAAAAACTTTTCCTTATATAGATTTAGATGTATCGGTATACAATTTGGTGAAGTGAAGAAATTTATCTTGGATAATTTCACCAAACCGAAAGCGTAAAGCGAAAATATTTGGGTTGTTTTGTGTATGTTTTGCCTTAAAAGGTTGGTGTTTAGTTGAATTTGCTAAAGCCAAGTACAACGTTTTAGGAATGTGATTTTGTTTTTAATAGATGTGTGAACATTGAGTTTGCTGCTGAATTAAAAAAATATGTCTTCTATGGATGGCAGTGGGTTCTTATTTAAAAGGTATGTGTTAGAGAGTTTGTTATTCATACTTAATATTACCCAAACGTGGGAAATACATTATGTTTTGTCTAAGTTATTTAAGATTTTACTGTGGAAAAATAATTAAATCATCTAAATAAATATTTTGAATCCTGATAAATTATGATAAATCTAAAAGTGTCCTAAGCTATAATTATTTCTCTTTTTTATCTAGATAAGTAATTCAAAACTTATATTTTTAAAACACTACTGACATTATTAATGATAAAAGTCCTAAAAAGTACAAATTAAATAAATTGCGTATATTATATATATATAATTATAAAAAATTTAATATTAATTCACATACCTTTACGGAGAAAGTTATAGTTCCTTTGGTCAAAAGTAAAGTCTGAAAAATAGATTTTTAATAACAGAATTTAGTAAAAATTTGAGCAACCATTCCATACTTTATACAACATTATATATCAATAAAAACAACTTTAATTTATTAAAAAATTTATTGGTTCATTTAACATTTTAATATTCACAATAATCACAATAATATTTTTACACTTGTAGAAACTTTTGCAGTTTAAAATTTCACCGGTTTTTTCGATTCAATATTTTGCAGTTCAAAAATTTGACGATCAAAATTTTGACGTAAACTTAAATGACACGCACTATTCTCTCCCTACCAAAATTTAATAATGAAATAACTCGATTTCGGGTTCACAGATTTAAAGTAATATTCCATCTTTTTACGGAATTTGTAATGTAGTTTTACATTTAAAAAACTAAAGTTGGTATCGCTACATAATACTATCTAAACGGTGTGAAAATTCTAAGTATTCATAATTATCGGTTTGAACTAAACTTGAAAATTACAAAAACCAGTATTTTAAATGTATGGTATGCAAAATTTAGCAAAAAAAAAAAAAAATTGAGCATGTTTAGTGAATCAACATGTATATATAATAAAATTATAAATAATAGATTTATTTTCAATATATTTATAGTACCTTTAATTGATTGTGAGTCTAAAATTAAATAAAACAATTAAATAAAATCTAAAAAAAAAATGTGTGTATTAAAAATAGCCAAAACCCCATACGCTACAAAGTATAAAAAATAACCGTACAACCGGTAGAAGGTTAAATACAAATTTAATAATTTAAAATACTATTACTCAAGGTATTAACGGTTAATATTAATAGAATAATGTGGCAAGCGTTTAAGTTGATCTGAGATGTCCGATTTAATAAATTATTAAAAAGTTTAAAATTAAAATTTGGGTAGTTACATATTTTCGAAAAAAAAACAGAATTGCATTTATTAAAGATAAAAGTCAATTGGTTAATTTAAAAACGTTTGCTTTGTTGGCACAGAGCAAAATACATGAAAATTTGAAAATTTAAAATTAAAACAATATCATTTATAAACAAATGAAAATGAAAAGGAGAGAGGTGATCACTTGAAATAAAAAGACATGGGTTTTATGATAAAAAGGTTTGTTTTACAAACAGTTTATTATTGGTTAGAAATAAATAAGCTAGAATAAAAGAGGTATTAAAAATCAAATGTCTTTTACGTTTTAAAAATTAAAAGTAAGTCGTCAATTCTAAAAAACGTTTTCAAAATCGTTTAAGATGACATTTGATTGTTGATTAAAGTAAAATGAGTTTGAAAAAATTTTTTTGTAAGAAATCAAGTTCATGATTGTACATTTTATTCTCACGAAAACCATGTAACTAGGGATGCTATATTATTTTTAAAACGAGAACGCACCGGGTGGCCGATAAAAATCGGTTGAAACTTGAGCATATGAGCATATGAGCACCTTCCCGGCAGTTTTAGCCACCGTCAGTCGCAGTACTAGGTATACGTAATAAGCTATATTACACAACATTTAACGACCGTTCGTACACTCCAATAATTGAACTAATTTAATTCTCTGTGTGCACAGTTGCGTTGATAGCACCCGATGATGGCGACAAGTTAGAGAACAATTACTAAGATTGTAGCAGTAGGATGTTGTTCTGCCGTTGATAACGATGCGCAACGCGGTGCGTTTTCATTTGAAGAATATTATAGACAAAATTAGTGGAATGTATAAACGAAAATATAATAATTATTATTAGAATCCCATCAAACAAGGTAGAAACAATCATATTTTATACAAATGTATACTTCTATTAAATCTAGAACAAATCTAGCAAATTATCTTTCACTTTTATCTAGATAAATTAAAGTTTATAAATTATATACAAAATATTGGGCACTGCTGATAATAAAATTCAAAATAATCAAACAGTATACAGTAAACAGTATTCTATATAAAAGTTTAAGCGGATATTATGCGTATTTAAAGATAAATTATGAATAATTATTTTACATACTAGTTCTTTTTGCTTTTTCTGTCACTGAAAAATACATACGCAAATATAATTATTGATACTAAGATAGAGTGACTATTCACATTCCACGAAAAATTATGTTATATTTCAGAGGTATTCAAATTGTGCTTCTCGGCTTAGAAATAATGAAATTGCGAACACACGTAAGTGTTTGCCGTTTTAAAGACAATTATCATTCGGGGTTTTCCTAATTATTTTTTTAATCCATTAGAAAATCCAAAGATGACCATTCTAGAGTTCCAACTAGATAAAAGTTCTTTTCAGTAAAGGTTGTACACATGATAGATTTGAGCATTATTACTGGTAAATTGTTGTATATAGACAATAAAAAAAAAAATACAAAAACACACTTCATTATAAAATCAATAGATTTCTTTCTACTTTGAATCTAAAATATTTTTGTTTTTTATCTAAATAAAAAGTACTTGATTACTAAAATTTATTTTAATTTAATGATAGTTACAAGTCTGCATCCAATTTACAATGAGTACAATGATAATGTAATATATGGTTAAACCACAATAATAATATACAGAGTAATTCACTAAGAATTCTTACCCAATATTTTGGTTACATTTTGCATACACTAATTGTTTGTGTGTTCAAATTCTAATTATTTGAATTTTCAGTGTATTAATAGTTGATATTTTTGAACACTTAGATTTTTTACAAAATCATGAATGATATAAAAGTCGGCAACATTTTGAATAGTAAATATTTTAATGGAAAAACTTATTAAAACCTTAAAATGGCAAACATTTAAACGGCAAAATCTTGAACCGATACCTTCATAGTTTATCGTTCAATATTTTGCCGAAAATATTTTTCAAGTGTTTACTGTGCAAGATTTTGCTGATCAACATATTGCGGAATTATTTTTTCAACATTTTGCTGTTTATGATTTTATCATTCAAATGTTTACTATTTAAGGATTGTCGTTCAAATGTTTGATGTTCAAGATTTTGTCGTTTACGATTCGCCAGTTTTTCGATTTATTATTTTGCTGTTCAAAAACTTGCCGTTCAAAATTTTGACATAAACCTAAATGATACCGCACTACGTTCTCCCTACCTAAATTTAAAAATGAAATATCTCGTTTATAAGTTTACGGAAATCAACAATTTTGATGCCAAAATTGATTTAAAGTAATGCTCCGTCTTTGTACCGTATTTAAAATATAGGTTTACATTTGGAAAACCAAAGTTGGTATCACTACATGATACTCCCAAAATGTGAAAAATCTAAGTATTCGTAAATATCGTATTTAACTACACATAGTGAATCACTCTATGTATACAATTTACTTAATTTTATTGCCAGCTACAGATTCTACAAAAATTATTAACTTCTGACCCATATCGATTTGATAGAATATTTTTGAGAAATATATCAACTTCACAATAGTATATACAACTGTATTTACAATCTCAGCAATGGACAACGAGAGTTAATGAGAAACATCTCTCTGGGTGAAAACAGAAATAATGGTTTTAATTTTTTTGATTTTGTTTTTGTTTTATATAGTTTGTAAGTAATATAAGATCATTTACTTGAAAAACGGAGCAAGGTTTTTGGTAGATAATTTGTGAACAGACTGATAAAAATAATATAAATAAATAAAGCATGTCTTTTAGTAAGACCAATACAATTATTTCTATATTCTGCGAAATCTAAAAAGAAATGATTGGACTAAGACGAAAATTGAGGGACTAGATTTTTACATTCCCGTTGGCCAATCTGCCTCTGACCATCGGATTCATTTAAAGAAACTAGGTATATTAAACAGATTCTAGGTAAAAATGTCTGGAGGTAAGAATGTCAAAAGATAAAAATGTTCTGAGGTAAAAATGCCCAGCTTGCACATTGTAGGTATAGCTATATAACTAACAACAAAACTGAAGGATGGAATCTTAGGTTTTCAAAATCATTTTCACATTCCCACTCAGCTAAAAGGTCAAAGAAAAAATATCGAAACACCAAAAATATGTATAAAAACTTTTTGAAATACATATCCTTTAATTAAAAAAATTAAATTAAATTGTATAGTAGATTGGAATAATAAATTTTTAGCCAATTTTAATATTGTCGTTTTAATTTTAAGACCAAATTAAAATGATTATTATACTTATTAATATTATTATTACGTATTAAAATTGTATTTAATTTATTAATTATATATATAAATAATAATTATGTAGGAAATTAATTTTTTTACCTCCAGAAATGTTTACTTTCGGTCATTTTTTTAACTGACATTATGGTAGAATCCCATTAAACAAGGTAGAATTAATATATATTATATATATACTATAGCCTCACAAGATTATAGCAAAGAAAAAAAAAACGATTTAAAGGGATATATTTAAAGATTAAAACATTGTTGAGTGTGGGATGTTCCACATAATTTAAGTTATATATGATGTTTTCAGTCCTTATGAATGTTTTTCATAAACAACTTTTCTCATTATTGTTTGTCATGCTTATATATAAATATATATTGTTATATATAATTCATGAAATACATTAATTCTTTCAATTTAATTGATATAAACCTACTGTAGTGTTGCAATAAATAAAATGTATTAATATCTCTATTATATATAAATATACTGGATGATCCATTTAAGTAGGTACACTCATTATCTCAGAAAGTAATAACTTTTTCGGGATTTGTTTTCTAGGACATTTAAAAATCAAGCTACTTTACAATTTAATATTCATATTATTTTTTGTCGCCCTTATTTTTAGAAGGTAAATTCACTATCTACTTTTGACTTTCAAATGGCAATCTATATTAAAATATCTATAAATAAGTGGAGCATTAGTTAAAATAAATTTGAGTGTTGACATTTTTGATTTCTGTCAAGCCGTTGACGAGATACTCCACTTTTAAGTTTAGGTTGAAGAAGAACAGTGGTGCATTATTAACTGTACTACCACATAAATGATACTCCACTACTCTCTTCCAACCTGAATTCATCCCCAAAAATAAGGGTGACAAAAAATAACACAAATATAAAATTGTAAAGTAGCTTGTTTCTTAAAAGTTCTAGAAAAAAAAATCCAGAAAAGTTAATACTTTCTGAGGTAATGAGTGTACCTACTTAAATAAATTACCTGGTATATATATATAAATGAAATTTATTTACTTTTTGTACTTAATGAAGTAGTCCTAGATAAATATGAAGTTACTGTATCTACAAAAATAATAAAACAAAAATTCAATATTAAGAGATAGAATATATTGAACACTCAATTTTTTTATTTTTGATTACTGTGTACAACTTGTAATGTTCAATAATGTCTGATAAGTCAATTTAAAAATAACAATTTTTTCTATAAAGTGCATATGTACTAAAAAAAAAATTACTTAAAAAATTAGCAAAATTGAATTGGCTCAAAAGCAATCATAAATTTAATATCAAAATATTACGAGCCCCTACGAATATTTTTAACTGATTAAAAAAAAAAAAAAAAATAATAATATAACTAATCTCTTAAATTTTTCCTTCATTTTCACGTATTTTTCAACTTCTCAATATTTAAAAAACTACATAGAAAATCAAAAAACAACTTTCTTTTTCACCAACTTTATTAATAATACAATAAAATTGATGTCCTGTTTTTTTTTTCAATTTGACCGATATGTCTGGTTGAAATCAGAAAACTTAAAAATTTAAAATAACGGAATCGTTGTGCGTTAATTTGAAAAAAAATCTTATTTTTCGTTTTTTCTTTTATGATGTTATGCTCATACAACATGTATAAAATTATTTATATTTATAAAAGTGTGACTTAGAGGTTTGGAATTTGATAAAAGCCGAGTACTCGGTATTTAGAAAAAAATTTGTTGATGTAATAAATATAGGGGTCATTCATTATTCGAAAAAGTAATACATAATTCTATGATTGTAGGCAAAACATGATAATTTTGTTAGAAAAATAAAACTCACACAGCGGGTGGGTATACAAATATTTTTATGTAAGTATCGATACACAATTTATATATCAATAGCGTTGGATTATTCAAGGGAGTTGAAACAGACATAATTTGTATATGTTATAGTTCAATAAAAAATAAGAACTAGAAATATATTTCAATGTTTAATTTTAGTTCTTGAAACTTATATGATTTTGTTGATAATTTGTTATATAGATATTTGATTTTTAATTTTCAGTTTAAAAAATCTTCAAAATTAAAATATTATTCTTTTTTTAAGAATAACCATCAATTAAATTACACTTATATTTATTTGAATTATTAAATTTTAAAACGAAAAATAGACTTTCTAAATAACCTAGACAATTTTTCAATAAATCTATTAAGAGAGTATCTGCGCACTATTCGATTTTTCCCTCTGACTCACCTTGAGTTTATCAGAAATAAACTTGTATATTAAATTTAATATTAGAGTGAATTTACTTAATATTGAAATAAAAGTTAACAACGTAAACTGTGTCCCTAAATCGGTGTTTTTCGTTATTTTAATTTGTAAGTGAGATATAAGCATTTCTAATTTTTAATATTTGATGTATTCAATTACGTTTGTAAGTAAATTCATTATTGTACAAAAGTTAACAATACAAATTAAATTGTTTCTGCTGAACACAAATTTGTTATATTGTGCATTGATCAGTAAGAACAAAAATAGAGTTCTGATATATGCGATAAAGATTAATATAAGGACATATAGACATATAGACATATATAATGTCTATATGTCTTAATATATCTCTAAATATGCGATATTCGTTTTGTATCAGTCTTTCCCTTTTACTAATCCACTTTTTCAACTGGGGGTCTTTGAAACTCAAGGACTTAGTGTACAGGAAAAAAGTCATTCATGCTAAATACAAATCTTCTTTCGATCAAGCTAACTACCGTAATTTTTCTTTACTTCGTACTAAGTATAAATACAAATGAAAGAAATGCTTTAAATGCTTTGTCGAACGCACTGAAAAATCTTTGACCAAGGCACCCAAAGATTTCTGGAGTGTCATTTGTAAGAACCGCTTTTCTAAGCCTATTTCAAATTATTTCATTGAATGGATATGATTTTACTTGTGAGTAGAAACTGTTAATTTGTTTTCTGACAATTTTTCTTCAGTTTACTCCTCTAGTCAAGTTAGTTCTGACCTTGTCTTTTTAGTATTACCTTTTTATGACCTCTCTCATAAATGTAGTTCTATAAATTGTTAATTTATTTGCTGACCATTATTATTCAGTTTACTCCTCTTGTTATGCGCCGTCGGTTGGTTCCGACTGGACGGTAACTTTTTTAAGTTCGTCCTCAGGTTTTGTGTTATTTCAGAATGCCAAAATACTATCGAATGTGGAATGAAGTTTAATTTTATTTAAAGAAAACTCATAAGTAAAATAATTACAATATTTAAAGAGACGTTTACATGCGTTATTTATTAGCTGTATATCTGACACGACTGCCGCTGCCGCCATCAACCAGCGGTGGTGGCGGAAGCCGACTTTAACAAATCCCGAGTCAACATTACTGTACTATATTACTATATATAAGCCAGAGGTTCATAACACTAAGCTAGTTTTACTTATTCTGCGTAAGCATGGTTTTTGCATATTACCCGGTAGTTGGACTGAGATAGTAGATTGGCAAACCCATCTACTTCTCACAAAAACGTTAGAAAAATAAATACGCCTAGGTGCAATTAGCCATATCAGTTTCATTATGTAAATTTAAGCGCTAAATCTAATTACTGTGTTTTAATCGTTCTAATACGTGGTTCCAATTACCGGTCCTACTCCAAATAATAATAAAATTTAAAAAAAAATTTAACTTACTTAAAGACTTTGTGGAAAACAATTTTCCCACAGTGTTTTCTATTACACAAAAAAGATATAATACTTTAGATATTTAAAAGCGACTTACTCTGTCAGTGGCGAAAAATTTAAAGAAATAAAATCGATATTTCTCATTTTTCGATAAGAACAATATTTCTGGTAGAAATTATTGTTTAAATAAATTAAAAACCACGAAAACAATAAAGACTTGGCGCTCCATAAATATTTGCCATTTTAACTATAATTTAATTTTGGGTTATTCCGAATTATTACGAAAACTCATTTGAAAATCAAAAAGTGATCTTTCTAATGCACGAAATAAAGAAAATTCATAAAATCGTAATAATATTAAAAAAATTTACTTACTTTTTCCTTTTCCACCTAAAATTTGAAGGTTTAAAAAAATATTCTATTCAGTTGAAATATATAACTGGTAAATAATATGTTTGAATTAGGTTTTCCTAGTTCCCAAATTTATGTATTTGATATTATTTTTTTTAAAGTCCAGAAAATATAATAAAAGCATAATTATATATAGATATTCTTCTTACTATTTCCTTCATCTGTAAGTTAAATTTAATAGATACAAAAATCAGTTATAAAGTTAAAATTTAGTATAAAAAGATCGAAAATGGTTGTTTGGTATTAATTTTATGTTAAACGTAATATCATTAAAAGAGTGTTGATATTAAATGTGGAAGTGATGATGCTTTACTCTTTTCCCCTAAATGAAGAGTGGTCAGTCAATTCCCTCTACATATATATTTATTATTTAGTTATTATCAACCCACAAAAATATTAGTCATTTATACGTATAAAAGGATACAAGAAGGGTATTTGTGTTGAAATGAAAATGTGAAGAATAAATTAGTGAGCAAGGTGATCGTTCTTTTTTCAGTTTTTTTATGAGCCAGTCTCCCCCCTCTTTCAAAAACTGAAATAACGCCACTGACTGCAGTTTGATTTGAATTCCACGGAATTTTTAGTTTTTATTCAACGTCTATATCCTTAATTAACAATAAATGCACAGCGCACTTGAAAATTAGATACTTCTATCTGTTGTAAGCGAGGACTAGAAACAAAACGAAAGGAACCAGTTCTGGAACAGAAACTTTTAAAATATTTGGAATCGGAACCTCTATTGAAAAAAATATGAAAAACCGGAAAAAATTTAAAAAAATATAAGTACTAAAGTTCTAATGTGAAAATATAAAGTTACTTTTTTTTTGTTGAGATGATTAAAATACAAATTTTAATTTTTCTCTAAATCGATGACCCCCTCAAAGACAAATTGATTGAAAAAAAAAGTGGAAAAAAATAAACAGCGCTGGAAAAATCCGTCGAACACGATGGCAAATTTGAATAAATATGCAGGTATATTTAATAAGTATATACCTAATTAATATTTATGAGGCATTCCTTGTTATCCAATCTATGATATGTATTATGTAAGCATTGATTAAATTTAATCAATGATGTAAGTCATTAGTTTTTGGGATTGGCTTTATAAAATTTAAGAAATTTTACTCCAAGGAATGCTATTCATGTTTAAATTTTGAAAAATAATTTTTTGTGAAAGAACCAGAACTGATATTTATTTAAATTACCCGAAAAAGAAAGAGAACTAATATACATTTGTTTTAAAGAACCAAAACCGAAATAGAACCAATATCTATTTTTAACAGAACCGGAACCGTAAACGAATCGATCTAATTTTTATTGAAGAATCAAAACTGATACAGAACCGCTAAAATCAAAAGGTTCTGGTCCCCGGTTGTAAGAGGCAACAAATGAGATTTCATCAGATCAAAAGCTGATGTAAACATTTTGTCAAATGATTTGAGGGGTCCTAAACAAGGCTAGGACAAATTAAACGTAGGATGAAAGAGAAGAAGAAAAGGATAAAATAAAATAAATTGTTGGATGAGGTCGAGAATATTACGAGGAAATTCAAGGGATAGCTAATGCATGCGAAGGGAGTGGTCGGATTAAGTAGAAGTTTAAGAGGAGGGTAGTCGTCCCAAAATAGCGAAATGGAGGCAAAAGAGAAGAAGACGAATTATCAATTGTAGACTCTGCAACATTATATCGGCCTAACTTAAATAATACACATCTAAACTATACACATAACCTACAAATTAACACTAGAAATGTACTTATTGCATTCATAATAGACATGGTGATAATAAGTGCTAAAAAAATAATTTGATTTCGGAACATTTTCTTATGACAAACACGTCGCATGGTGGTGCTCGGTAAATTAAATCACCCCCACCCCTTCCCCCAGAAAATATTAAACCTATTTAAGACTATCGCTATACAAATTCTACAACAATATATGATTTATGATTTCTGTATACAATGCGGTTCGCTATAAAGTATAATAAATATTTTACAATTACTTTTCTGTAGTTTTTGAAACGCTGTAAACATAATTAAAATAAATAGTTTAAAAGGAGAATTGCATTTAATAATATATGCAAATTAAAAATAAAAAATTAAAGGGGATATAATTATTATATATACATAACATGATTTATAATCAAATATTATATTAAACGACATTAATATAATTATTAAAATCTTTCAATCTCGAAAATTATATAAATCGTATCAGAACCCAGTTAATTATAATAATTATAATTTGTAGGTAAATAAAATATACCTACGAGTATATAATTATAACAATAACAATTAAAAACAAATAAATTTAACAAGTAATGATTCAGACAATTAGTTACAAAGAAAGAACTCAAATTTCTAACAAATTTCTAGAAACACTGAAATCAGACGAAAACGTAGGATCCGCTACAATTAAGCGCAGTAATTTTAGAGCACGATAAATTCAACGCAGTCATTTTGATGATCGATAATACAATGCATACGATAAGATCAAGGCAGTTCACCAAAACTCTTAAACACTTCGAAGAATAATGCTATGGTAAGATAAGAGATATAAAATATGATAAAATTGATATTGCAGCAGAGTAACCATATTATATAAAAAATGATTATTTATGATATATATTTACATGTGTATTTTTTAAAAAAATGTGTGAACAGGAAATATGCCCAAATAATATACCAGCATTAGAATTACACAATTAAAGAAGTAATTTCTACGAATTACATCATATGAATTACGTCGTATGAATACAAATTTGATGATGCTAGGGAATAACGTGCTATGCAGCACTTCATACGTTTTACAGTGTCGAAGAAAAGTAAATAATAAATAATAAATAATCTTGAAGATTATTTATTGATATTACTGTTGAGTGGAGCTTCATTCAATTGAGATCACCCGAAATTTACTTGTGGAAATTATACAACATTTGAGCGAAAAATTAACCGATCGTTTGGAGGAAATTATCATTGTTTGTTGTACGATTTAGATAAACAGTAAATAAATATGTAGTATACCACAACTACTTTTATAATATTTACTACCTATTCATATATATATAAATATATATATAATTATATTAGGTCGAAACGTTAGTGATTTTTACGTTCTGACTACACATAATCTAATCAGATAATAAATTATAGTATTAACCTATTTGGATGATTGATGCACTATTAGGTACTAAACTAATAAAATATTTTATTAACCTATTAAGTCTGGAGTATTTCTTTAAATTAAAATTGTTTATTATTATCGTTATGGTTAATATCCGTTTTTAAACGAAAAATGTTAAAATAATTTTTGACTTTATACATTTGTATATTATGATATTTTGTGAAAAATGTGCGTAACCATATGGGTACTCGAGAATATAATGAGTTAAGATATGTAACTTTACGTAAGAAAAGACGAGAGAATTTTTCGAGAGAAATGAAAAAAAAACAAATTTATATTTTTTTGTGTCTTGTACAATTGTTTATATTGAACTATTATATACATGAAAATGTGTTACTAAAAATATTGTAAAAATAATATTGTGTGTATTAAGATATGCGTGAAATTTTACTTGAAAAAAAATATGATGTACTTAAAATTAAATACCTAAACTGGTGAGAATCTTATATTTGTGACACAGTGGGATAAAATATTGAAAATATAATATTTCAGACTTCAAAGACTATATTTATGTATATATATATATAAAAGCAAGTCCGATGATGTATTAGATATTGAAGTGCCGTATACATTTCGCACAAATGATATGTGATTTTGGGTTGATTCATTCAAATGAATCCCGCCTGTAAAATGTTGGTATATTTGAACTTTAAACACTTTCAGATCCTCGATTATAAGTGGACCACTGCACTACCTAAATTAGACTAGATTAAATAAACTAGATATGGTAAGCAACTTCACTTCAGTTTGTTTCTTGAGAATTTTAAAATACACTTATATTATTGAATTATTCATGTGTCAATCATACTATACGTAATATTGGAAAATTGAAAAATTATTTAGCTGAACATTATGTTTTATAAGTCTACTTTTGACTTAGCTTTCCAATGTAAGTAATGCGGCGACTACGAAATCCGCACTACGGTGCGCTCGATGCGGCGACCAAATCCAAACGTACATCAAAACAGTGTGGTGGTAGTGTTTTTTTTTTTAAAAAAATGTAATAAAAATAAATTATACTACACATATATATTATAATATTTATGTAAACACCCACAAATATGCAGTCTAGAAGGCAAATGTTGTGCCACACGAACCGGCCATCGGTTGTGTTTTCGTTGTAGTGTTTGATAACTTTTGGAATATTTCAGTTTATTTTTTCTTCTGAGATAATTCGCATACTTCCACACTGTTTTAGTATTCGTTTATATGTCTCTCTTGGCGTTTTCATATTCCATTTTCTCGCGACAATACCAACGTACGCAGCAACCGAATTCGTTTGCGAACGAATAAATTCGTTCACAATTGCAGCTGGACAAAATGGAAAACAAACCATTTTGTATTTTCATCACACCGCAGTTCGTATGTGCGTTTTCCTAACGAAAATTATAAATGTACGAAACTATTACACGCCCCACTGTTCTCATATTTATTCGCGTATTCGTACCCACATATGCGACGAGAAACGTTTGATATAATATATGATGCGAATTTGTGCAGTCATCGGATTTACATAAAACACATCGTTAGTATTGGTTTTAATATTAGTTTAAATTGTTTACCAGTTAAAATGCTTGTAGTTCTTTCTTTAAGTAGGTCTGTAAGTAAAAATAAAAAGCAAATATAAATATCGAATACACAAATACACGTACCTAACTAATTTTTTTCTTTTTAACAATAAATTACTCACATAAGTCAACGCCGTATTCGACCATATCGTCTGTTGATAATAGTTTTGGAAATAAGTCAATTGCAAAATATAACATAAATATTATTCTATGTTACTATTCAGATAAATTAAGATATATATAATCATAATATTATTAGCTTTCATATTTATTTTAAAATATCTCAATCGTACCTATATAAGTTTCTAATAGAATATTATGAGTTGATTTTAAATAAATAACAAATTTGTATAATAAATTGGATACTTACCGTAACATGCTAGTTTTAAAACAAAACATGAAAATTATCAATACATATTATTAATTTGTCCTAAGTATGAACAAATTGGTATATTTAGGTATTATATGGTATTATATGTATTGTTTATCTGATTGTTTATTCCACTAAAACGTAATCCCCAATTGACGTATTGTGTATATATTATGCTCCAAACTATAAGAAAAACTATCGTTTCGAACAACGATTAAAAATATCTTAAATCTTATTTTAAACGTAAGCAGGTACAATCAATTAATGATAATACTGGAAAAGCAAGATAATCAGCAGTGAAAAATACGGAGCCTACCTTTGCCCCTTATTATTGTTATTTTTGTTATCATTCAGCCCGTGTTAGACCATATGCCAAGTAACAATGGTAATGATCGACTTTTAGCAAAATATTATAATTTTATGATATCTTATTTTATTATTATATATTATTATACTTTTGTAAAATGTCTGAAAAATTCGTGTGCAATAAAATACCTCTATAATACCAAGAAATTAAATCTAAATTATTCATTTAACAATAGAAATATGTTGTATACAGTGTCCCATGAAGATATTTCAAGACCCATTGTAATATCCCCAGAGGTAATAATGATAATCAAGGTCTGTTTTTTTTTTTTATTACTCACAAGGATAAGGACTAAAAATATTTATATTGCCATAATTTTGTTATGATTCGATAAAAAACTTTTAAAAAAATATAACTTTATATTTTATTTTTGAAAAAATTGAAGACAGCTATTTTATAGTTATTTTTATCTAAAAAATTTTTATTTTTGATGTTTTTATTTTCATTAAAAACGTGATATATAATCATTTTATAAAGTTCAGGGAAAAGTACCTACAATTATGCAGTAGGCTGTAATCACATTCCATAATTAATTAAATGGCTATCTTCAAATTTTTCAATAATAATGAAATAAAAAGTTATTTTTTTAAATTTTTAATCAAAACATAAAAAATTAATTGCAATATAAATATTTTTAGTCCCTATCCCAGTGAGTAATATATATATAATAAAAACTAGAATTCGATTATCTCCGGAGATATTATAATGGATATATCACCCATTCGTGGGACACCCTGTGAATCATTTATTTTATTATATTTATTGTGTTATATGTGAATATACCTGTCTACATTTGTTAACGTTTATTTTATTAACAATTGAACAAAATTTAAAAAGTTAATAGAAATCAAGTATTATTAATTAATGTATTTGCAGTAATTTATAGTTACGAAAATATTTCATAATATTTGATTTGTTTGTATGTTTAAGTATAGTCCATAATCCACAAATACTATAAGTTATTGTCTTATTTGATTTTTGATTACTACTATCTAATAGTATACATAAACTATATTCTAAAATATTAATAAGAGGCAAACGTAGGTAACTAACAGTGAAACCGAAGGATTCGCCACTTTATTATCGACTTTCCGGAACTTATTACAATTTATAGTATTTAACGTAATTTAGTTAAGTTTATTTTAATTTATTAATAAACACATTAATATATACTTAATTTTTAACTAATATTTTTGAAAATCATATTTCGAGTATAGGTAACAGAAAATACATTAAACAATACAAAAGATATTTCAAATTTACGAGGAAAATATTAACTAGCCGAATTATATTTCAAGTGCTTATAATATACAGATAGTATGTGTTTCATGACAACTTCATTATCAATCACCAAATACTAAATTATCAATCAGATAAGCAATTCAATGGATTTCAATGTTTTTCATTAAATTCAATTATTTTGATTACTATACTCTGACTCACGAGAGAAAGTACACGCTCCACGCATCAGCGAGAGCACAGAGGCCGAATTTCTACCACTCCTCATCGCGTAACAACATGGGTGATTGGGGAATTGCAGCAAACCAATCAAACGATTGAAGACGAATAGAAGAAGAAGAAATTGTTTCGTTTTTGTGAAGTCATGAAAACGGTTATACCAAACTTTTGGATTAATTTTTCTAAAACTAAATAATATTTTTTTCATAACTTTATAGATGATCGTCCTGAATATTTATACTTTTCAACATAATTATTATATAATATAAAGTATATTTTGAAATTTCGATTTGGCTGTAAAGTGAATCAGCTGAAAACAGAAGAGAACGATTATGGTCCAAAACAGTTATGTAATCGGGACGCCGTGCCGCAATGCTGAATATAATATGCTAAATATGAATTAATGAATAGACATAATAGACATACAGGCACCTTGGATCATAAGATAATAGACTGTGTTAAATCGTATAATTACAATTATGAACTAAGACGATGTTAACTTGCTCTATCGGAGAATTTATAAAGCTACATTAAATTTGTACAAAATATTTACAAACTTATAATTTATTGTAATATATAATTCTCATCATAGTTCTAGCTTTTTATAGTATTTTATGAAATTCGTAAGTTGTTGACACGTTTGATTAAATTGGCTATGGATTCTAGCATCTGGCCATGGCAATTTCTAACCGTGTCTCTACCATCCATCCATCTTGTATTCTATCTAGTTCATAATTATAATCTTAATGCATGATTATATCAGAACTATCAAAAAAAATATTACTGTCAATCATCAGTACTACTTTGATAACCTATAAATAACTAAATGCTATAATACTTTACATATTACTATATTAAACTATACTAGAACTATATTACTTCCAAGGAAATTGTGATATTTGAGTAAACAAATAGTAGGGAAAAGGCTGTGGAAGTTAGGTGTTGAATTCTTTAAAAATATAAGACAAATCCTTGATACTAACGCATAATATTGCATTCATACTCCCAGCTTTATTTGGGGGAGGGGGGTTCGTGAGGGTCATTAGGGGTGTTTTAATATAAATAAAACTCCCTCCTCCCAAAATAATGTTTGGTTAGGTTACCAGTGAAATTTAATCCATTTATCACTTCAGTTTGCTTATAAAACAACTCTATTTTCCGAATTTAAGCTAAGTTTGTTCCGGAAGGAGCAGCTGTAGGAATATATATATCCAATGTATTTACATGTATCTTCATAATTATATGTTAAACAGTTAAATTAAGTTTATCTACGAGTATTTAAATAATAGCGATGATGATTATTAAACCTTTTAAATTATTAAGTTAAAAATCTAATTAAAAATGTTACCTAAAATACGCGAGGCCCATTGACTACTGTCAAATAATGTATTTGACATTAATTGATCTAAACAAATATACATAATATATTATATAAATGTAAGAATAGTAATTCTACAGATATTAATTTAATTCAAGAAATTGCATGTAGGTGGAAATGTAAGATCGTTTAGTTTATACAATGAAAGTAACAATAAATCATAATTAGGTAAATAATACAAATCTATTCCGAACAGAACTCGGTAAACCGGTAACTACCCGATTATATAAGAATAAGAAAAACTAATAGCTTCGTCATTACTCTCAGAATCTAAAATAAACATTAATTTTAATTTAATATTATAATGCATTCAATATTTAGTATTTTTAATAAATGATCAAAAGTGACGTAACATAATTACCAGTTCCATTAATAAAAATATAAGTACGCTATAAATTATTTCACAATTACTTACGCATGTCGTTCACACACTGACGCCCCACGTAGCCACTGTTGCGTTCTTAATATTATGGGAAGCATCAGGTTAAGAACCATAGATGGCATCACTTGACGTGTTACTCTTTTCGACACAGTTACCACTTACCGGAAGTACACATTATTTGCTCACCTTAAATAATCACTGCCTACATCCTTTAAAATCTATACGGCAATTGCAGATACCATAGGTAGACTGTTGTATTTGGTTAATCCATATTTCCTTAAACCTAGTAGTTGTACATATTGTCATCTAAGTCATCCTAGTTCTCCATTATACATTTAAGTGTGTTTATTTTTTGTCTATCACCTTGTACACGCAGCAATTGCCCTCAACTAACTTGAGCATGATCTCAACATAGCGCTGTTCGTGGTCGTTAGTCGGGATAAACAATTGTATGTTATTGCAGATACCGAAGGCGGACTGTTTTCTTTGGTTTTCCTATACCCTCGTCTCTTAACTGGTTAGTTGTGCTGACTTTCACATTGTTTTTCTTACCGTATATTTTAATGCATTTATTTTTTTATCTTACACCTCACATAAACTTATACTCTGTATATTATAACCGATTTGCTTGAACACAGCTAGCAATATACAGCTCGTCGATCGCCTGTCACAGACAATATTGTTTGACAATAATTTGTTATACTCAACGAAGATTTACTCGCAAGTGGTCACTTATTAGCAACTCGGCGTCTCAGTACTATAAATAAATACTTATTAGCATAGTAGACCTGGTAAAAAACAGTTAAAAATGTTAATTTAATTTTAACAAACCTGATAAAATAATACAATAATTTCTTGGAGACATCAGAATAGATGTTAGTGGCATAATTTGTTTTGTTCCATCATTTATTATTTCTTCACCTGATTTAATAATTCAAAAGAGATATTATTTAAATAAGTATTATATATTATATTATATGTATAGTTTTAATTTGTGTTAAATAATAATACAACGTAAATACTTACTGACTTCAATATTTTTATAAAGATACTCCATGTACCTTAGTGCGTGGTCTAAAAATTAAAATGACGATTTGAGTTTTCGATGCATTTGCGATTTATAAAGTTAAAAATAATAATTATATTTTTTGCAAGAAGATATATTTTCATTTATTAATAGAAATACTAGTTAGGTATATTTATAATATACTTCACTTTTTCAACGTCACATTATATATAGTATGAAGTTGAATAACGTTCACTGAACATTTTCCTTGAGAAAAAGATAAGGTATTTATGATTTTAGAAAGTGCATAGTGACGTTCTATTGATATAATAACAATTTTTATACTGTTTAAAATTACAAGAGTCAAAATATAACTGCAAGTGTTGTTAATTTGTTGTGGCACCCAGTCATTTCTTAACAGGGGTGACATTTTAATAGGATATGGCGTAATAATGACCGGCCTAATAAGTTTAATACTTTTAAGCTCATAGTAAAAATAAGCTTATATATTTATACTGATATTTATTGTTGTGCGCGCTATTTCTGTGACAGATTATTTACAAAAATTGTATAATTGATAAATGGTTGGTAAATAAGCAAAACAATTGAAACTGATGAAAACGAACCTTCAACTTCGAATTTTAAACGAAAAAAAGACAAGAAACTATGATTTAGAGTACCTAAAAATTGGTTTTTCTTGGAAAGAAGATAATGATGAACAATACGTTTTTCACAGTGTGTCATTTGTTATGAAGTACTTGCAAACGAGATAATGCGCCCGAATAAATTACGTCGGCATATTGAGACTAAGCATCTTGATCTAATTGATTAGCCTCTCTATTATTTCGAAACAAAGTTGAAAGAACTGAAAACATCCAAAACAAAAATTATACAGTTTACCAAGGTCAGTGAAAAAGCTATGCACGCTTCGTACCTGATAATTTTACGAATCGCAAAATCTGGCAAATCACATACTATCGGAGAGAATTTAATATTACCATCAATAAAAGATGTAGTTGGANTAGATTTTTCTCACTACAACTAGATGAATTTACAGATGCTTAAGGTTTATGTCAGATTCTTGTATTCATACGTTATATATGGAACAACGGACCACATGAAGATATGTTATTTTGTGAACCAACTATTCGAGGTACTAATGAGGAAATATTCTATACCCTCGATACTTATATCAAAAATAAAAGGTCATGATTGGGTAAAATATATCAGATTATGTAGAAACGATGCTAGAGCTATGTATAGTAAAAATAGTAGTGTTGTAACTCGAATGCTTGAAGTTAGTCCGAATGCATCATGGACTCACTGCGACATTCACAGGGAAGTTTTAGTATCAAAAATTCGGCTGGATAACTTGAAAATCATATTGAACACTTCTGTGAAAATTTCATTAAGACAAAGCCACTGTAATCACGATTATTTGAAAGATTGTGTGAAAAGATGGAAAGTTCTCATAAATCTTTTCTTTTGCACACCGAAGTACGTTGGCTGTCAAGAGGAAAAGTATAAAAAAGACTTGTGGAACTCCACAAAGAAGTTGCACTGTTTTTAAAAAAAAAAATCTGATTTGGCAAAATCGTTGCACAATGAAGAATTTATTTTGAAGCTCACGTATTTAGCCGACATATTTTAGAATCTGAATGAACTAAATTTATATTTACAAGGAACAGAAGGATCCGATATATTTGCGGTCCATGAGAAAATTAGATTTTTTATAAAAAAAACTTACTTTATATGAAAAAAACATTGAAAAGCAAAATTATGATCGTTTTGAAATATTTCAAACTTTCATAACCGAAAATAATATATAAGTTGCTGATGACATAAATAGCCAAGTCACTTTGCATTTAATTTCGTTGAAAGACAATCTCAACTTTTACTTTCTTGAAGAAATGGAAAAATGTCAACAAAATAACTGGATTGTGAATCCGTTTCAGGACGCTATATTAACAGAGATATCAACAAAAGCCGAAGAACTCATTAATGAATCTAAAAATACACCATTAAAACTTAAATTTAGCCGCATAATTTGATTGAATTTTGGCTGTCAGCTCAACAGAAATGTCCAACTCTTTCAACTGAAGCTTTAAATGTATTACAACCTTTCTCATATTCATACTTATGTAAGGTTGGATTTTCGGCAATATCGGGCATCAAAAATAAACATTTCTGTGTTCAAGCTCAAATTAACGAATTCCTTGCTTTTGAAAATAGCTAAGATTTACGTTGATATTGGTGCTTTCTTTAACAATAGCAGGAAACAAGCACATTCATCATATACTCCTCTTTATTAATCAAGTATTATATTATTATTATAAGTATATTATAATAATAATAATAATGATTATTATTATTATAAAGTAGTAAATAAGCAATAAAAATAAAACTAATTTTGTTTTTTGAAACTACTATTTAATTCTGTAAATGTAAAACTATGGTGGTCGCGATAGATTTTTGGAAGAAAATTTGGGTTGTGGTCCTAAAAAGATTAAGAACCTCTGCCCTAGTGGTGTACCTAGGCTTACTTTACGGTGGAGGAGGCAAAATATATTTTCACCCACTCTTAAAATAGAAAACTCTCTAAAAAGCGAGGTCACAGCTACAACAATTTTATGAATAGACACGGAAATTTGGCTCTTTTATATTTGTAAAATATAACATTTTAATACATGAAATAAGAAATGTATATTTAATTAATTATAATATTACAATGCTTGTTATATACTTAGAATACAGAGACTAAACTCCGGTTTTTCATAAAAAATAATCTCTCCATAGCATCATCCACTCATATTCTTATTTACTGGTAAATATGTAACAGTGTAAGCTCGCATAACCTTTAAGGTCTATTACTAATTTATACTAATCAGTGTTTCATTTTACGTTAGATATAGTACATTATAGTTAAAACTGGGAAAAGTCAATACTTGCCTAACTAAAAAATTAGGCCGTTAAATGAGAAAAATAACATCCGTAAGAAATCTCACTATCACGACACGGTGACGGGTACAGCACTGCTTGCAACGGTACGGTTCTTCACCGGAAGAATGAGAAAAGTAAGCTTATTTTCCTATACTATTTATCTCACCAGTGCAATTCCGGAAAAAGCCACGTTATTATCACGTCACTTCTATGTGTAAATAGATCTTAAGGGATCCTGGGACATTTATTTTGAAACTAGAAATCATTGATAAAAGCACCGTTGAACCGCCAAACAAAATGATAACATTAAAAACCTTAATCCTGTTCGATCACAAATAACAAATATATTTTTATATCTATGGATTTCACTATGTTATCATATTATTAAAAAGACAGACACATTTCACACATTGGGTGGGGTACTATAGTAGGTAAGAAATTAGGAAGGTACGATATAGAGGGGAAATTAGGGGAAATCTATACGCAACGATTAATCATTAATAACGAAAAACAATTTTGAGATTAGGTTAGGTTAACCTAACTCTCTGAGCAGAGTTTAGTTCAGGGGCGGAGTTTAGTTCAGTGGTGGACTGGGAATCCGAGCTGGCCCGAGGTAATATTATAAAATCGGTCACATATTTAGTTAATTAAGTATTTATGTATTCTCCATAAACATAATAAAAAAGATTGATGGCTTTAAATCATTTTAAACAGAACAACCCCTAAGTTTACAATAAAAACACGAGTACCCGAATCTCAGAAAATAAATTAAAAATAGACTCGCCAAATTTTAAATTCCGAGTGAAGTGAGAAATCTATTAGTTTAACTTTGATTTGTATTTTTTTCTTCTTGTAAATAACTTTTCTCCTAGATATCTTGCTTCAATAAAAACATGAAAAGAGGACCTTTTTGGTTGCATTTTAGCTTTAGTTGTTACTTTAGAAAGGTCATTTTTTGAAGTTATCATTATATTTAAGATAAAGAGGAAAAATTGGTTTTAGAGTAAAAATAGTTTAAAAGATAAAAATAAAGTTGTCATTGGCGACATTTTTTATTTATTTTTTGTTATAAATAAGATTTTATTATTTTAATTTTTTTAAAAAATCGTTATCATGAAAACGCACATTGTACAAAAAGCAATGCTATTTTCCGAACACTACTCAGAATCGTTTTTCGTAAGTCATGTTTTATCGTTGTGTACAGATATAAATTAAAATCCTTTCTATGTCTTACATGTCCAACTTATCACTTATAACAATGGGTCGCTCATAATATGACGTATATGACGTATAATGTCCGTCCTTTTTAAAAATTTGTTTCGGGTTTTTAAATTGCACTTACCGTTACTCATATTTCGATGAAATCCCGTTGAATGATTATTATTAAATTACATCATAATATCTATGCAAATATTTGAAATGAAAATATAAACAAATACAAATTATTATTTGTCAAATTATGTTTTTTTAAATTATCAATATTTTCTTAAACAAACTACATTTTTGTTCAATTAAATCAATAACATTTTTATGCTAGTTCTAAACTCCAATTTAATAATATATTTTTCTATTTTGACATAAAAATTAAAACCCTCCGTCTAGATTTCCTTAATATGTAATTCTATAAGTCTATAAGTCCTAATCATCAGATGTATAAAAGAATACTTTTTGCGATATGAATGTCCGGCCTACCCTAATCTTCTTTTTTTAATTTTGCTCACCATGCTGTGACACTTATACAGTTCTTTTATTTATTCTTTTTTCATCCCCACTTTCTGGTGCTAGTGTCTACACACGGGTCATTTATAATTCTTAATACCTTTCGTTCGAATACTAGGATGCTATTCATCTGAGTTTTGTGCAGTATCCAGGTTTCATATCCATATATCAGTATAGGCCTTAGAAGTATTCGGAAAAGTTGTATTTTTAGTCCTTTGGACAGCAATCTTGTCTTGAGTATCTTATTCAAAGTATTTGTTTCCCATTTGTATCCTGGCTCTTATTTCAATTTTAATCTCGTTTTTCTGTGTAATACATGACTCTAGGTATTATGAAAATTCTTGTACACTTATGAATTTATATTTGTACACTTCCGGTTGGGTATATCCACTAGTTCTTTTCTTTGGATAATAATATACTCTTATTTTTCTTAGTTAACTTCTAGCCCTATTCGTTTTGCTGTCTCCAATAATTTTCTAGTTTGTTCGATAATATCCTTTTCATTTTCCGCGAGCTGCACTACATCCTCCGCGTATGCTTATAAACCAATTATTCAACTTTACTCTTAAATGATCTATGTGGCTTTCCTTTATTACGTTTTCCAAAGCCAAGTTATACAAGACTAGAGAGCGGATTTCTGTCCTAAACACGATGTAGCCCATTTTAATGATAATTAAAATATCGATGTCAATCATATTGGTGTATTTAAATAAATTAACTTTAAAGAAATCTATAGTACCAATCTATTTTCGTTATAAAAAAAACTGGTAAAAATAAAAATTGTCACATGGCATCTAAAACAATGTGTTTTGGTTCCAAGCGTTATCGCGTTCAAAACGTAAAACTACGACAGGCAGTGGTTTCACGTAGCAACGCGAGTTAAAACCACTATAATGTGGCGTGGCCCTTATCTTCTGTCAATCAAATGGGTCTACATCCACTGTCGTTTGACACCTGATGTAATCTGTGATTACCTATTGTAGGCTTAAATACACTTTTTTCCCTATTTTCGCATTAAATCTCCTAAAACGATTTGTATACTGTTTCTAAAGATATTATTCAGGGTAACATCTAGTAACGTGTAAAATGCATATTTTTCCTCCTTTTGCTTCTCTGTTGGAGCATAGACGCTCTTGAATACTATATTGAACTAACTAGCCGGTACTGTTAATAGTGATATTTTCATGTAAATTTCTTTAAAATCTTTAAATGCCATTTGTTGTTTACTACAAAACTACACCCCTTGTATTTTTTCATCACAAATCCCATAGAATAATTATCCCGTAGTATTATTTAATCGAATCGAACTTGAATCTCTCTACCTTATTTCTTGCAAGACTACGATTCCCATAGACTTCCCTAGAATTCTCTATCACGTCTACTAATTTCTCGCCGCGCCATGTTTATTGAAAGTTCGTATATTCCATTTACAAACATGTAAAGCCTATTTCCCAATTTCTAGCCTAGAACCATGTGATCGACTATTCTAAGGCAGAATTTTTGAATGTTTTTTCTGTGACGGGTTGTAAACCCATCGACAAAACTCCCATATGTAAAACCAAAGTCCCTCCGATCAATTCAGATCGGAGGTTAGGTTAGGTTAGGTTATATTAGGTGAAAGCTATGCAAGTTCTGCTCCCTGCAGGTAACAGTAAACCTTACTCCTAATATGTAATTATATACAAATTAATAAATAATTTTTACTTGAGTATTATTTATACAGCTAGATTTTAATCAATTTTTATACACTATTATTTGTTAAACATAATTCCGTTCACATTTAATAATACACAAATCAACTTACTGTTCAGTTCTGTTTTTTCCATAATGAAATCAATTCAATGTAATTTAAATCGAACAGTTTACGATTTGTTGTGATATTTGTCTTCTAAAAAATTATTTCAAAAGATTCTTACACCCGGGAAGTGGTCATTTTAAATTAAATGCTATAGTTTCGAGCCCTTGGAATGATATTTATCAAAAAATATGTTAGACCCACAAAATAATCTTTAGTCACGTTTTGTAGAGAACGAGTTAATTATTTAAACTACTTACCCAGGTATTGGTATGCAAAAAGGGCACATTCTTTTGCAGTTTTACAACCTACAAGAAAAATGTCCATGAAATATAGGTTTAAAATATCTAATACGTTTACATAAACATAATTATCAACGAATCCATGATGACTTAATGATACAATTTATTGATAAAATTTTTTTTTTTTTTTGTGATCATTTACAGGGATGAAGAATAAGAAGAATGAAATATTTGAATTAAATTTTCATATTTTTGTATAAAATTTAAAAAAAAATTTTGCATTTTATTTTTTTTGAAAAATTTGAAGATATTAATTTTATAGGGTTTGTTCTTCGGACCATTTGGACGTTTCAAATTTTTATTCCATTAAATTCGTTTTTTTTCAATAATTTTTAATAATTCAGAGAAAAAAAGACAGACATACTTTGCACGTAGTGGTCCACTGTTGTAGAAGAGAGGAGGTTGGGAAGGGGGAGGAAACGTAATGTATATCTGCATGCAACGATTAACTATTACTAACGAAGAACGATTCTAAGCGGAGTTCGGTTAATAGTGTTTCCATTTCAACAATATATGCCACATTATGGTAAAATAATTACGTATGTATTATATATTTACAAAGAAAAATTGGTAGATCTCGATACTAAATTTAATGATTTAATTTACAACATTATTTCCAATAGAAGACAAATTGATAGCTTTGATCGAAAAAGATCTCAAACATTATTAAATAACAAGTCCTCACTGAACTCCAATTAGCGTAGTAAATTTAAATAGTTCTGTATATTATGAAAAGAACGTGAAAATGAAAATGTGTCAATAATTTAAAATCAACTTACATTTGATCAAAAATATAATATTTATAATACAGTGTTGGAGAATATTAATTCCTAAAAAAATGATTTATTTATTTTAGACCCCCAGGTGCCACAGGAAAAACATATGTACTAAATTTAATTATTTCAAAACCTCAAAAAAGAAAATAAACTAGTTGAAGCTGTAGGTTTTTTATGTATTCATTATAAATATTTGTTGGTGTGGTACTAAATTAATGTTGAATTTGAAGTTCTACAATTTATTTTTTTACAATAATAGTTATAGAATGCAAAATGTAACTTTTTTCGTGAATAATCTAATTGATTTTATTAACTGTACAAATTATTTAAAATTTACATTTTTTAATAGTTTATTTTAAAGTATCAAAAGTATTGAATTATTCCTTTATGTGAATTATTATATAAAAGGACAATGAATAATTATAAACATTATTGATCACTAATCTGTGAAAGAACAGACAAGGCCCTCCCAGTATTTGTAATTTGTAAGTGATGTATTGATGCAAAATAATTTGACCTGTACATTTTTAAGTTAAATTTGTTAATACAATATTTCTGCAGACACCCATAATTTTAAAATATATTCTTTCAAGTAACTACTTACATAATATATTCCAATAGGTATACATAAAACTAAATTCCATATTTAATGTGTTCAAATATTATAAGATTTAATTACGTGCTTACAACAAAAAAATAAATTACTATGATAAGTGATAAGTCATGACAATATTTACATAAACGTGGAGCTAGTATAACATAATTATATCTACCATTAACTATACACTTTTTCTCTGTAAAAAATTATACAAATCAGAAATTTTATGAAAATAAAAAGTTGGAACGTCAACATTTTTAGAAGAATAATCTCTATAAAATGGTTATCTTCAAATTTAAAATAATAAAGTTAAAAGTTATTTTTTAATTTTTTTCTTACCAAAACATAAGCATTTAATAAATATAAATATTTATAGTTCTCATCACTGTGAGTAATATATAAAAAAAAAATTTTAATTATTTGTATTATCTCCGGAGATATTACAATGACTGTATCTTCATGAAACGCAGAGGTTCTATATCAGAAGTCTATTCAGAGATATGAAATCCTGTAGACAAATGCAATTATTGGACCATATACTTTACATTTACCATAAAATAACTATGAAATTGTTAGATAACTTACCATGAAAAACAGATGATATTTGATCTGTTAGAACATACAAATTGTGATGATTTAATATACTGTTATACACCTACTGCATACTCATTAAATAATTTAATATTGACTGTGTTTAAGTAAGTAGTTAAGTTTACAAATAATTGTGTTGCATTTTATGAAGGTCTAAATTACTATTACTATTCAATTTCTGAAGTCTACGTTGTAATTTATATAGGTTTAGTTTATTTACTACTAAAAGTTGGTTTTGAACAATACTAAACTAAGTGTGTGTATATTCGTTAGCAAAAAGTAGGCCAACACTTACTGGGTCTAATTATAAATAGTATACGATAAGAAGAAATTCATGATACTAGCATACAAAAATATCAAACAGCCTGAAAGAATATAAGTATTCAAATATTTAGTTGTTCGGATCAAATTACCATAAGGATACTCAAATGAGTAATGCTTAAACCAAACGATAAAGACTAAAAGAGCTGATACTTGAGACAGGTGTATTACTGTTGTAGGTGGGAATATAGGAGGGTAAGATACACATAAACGTGTGCACGAAGAAGGCAGCTGTCTCCCCTGTGAGATTTTCCGCCAGATATTTTTAAACAAANTTTTGAAATGCTCTCATTATTTTGATATTCGTCAAAAATCAAAACACTTTTAAAAATCTGCCACACTACATTCAATTTTTTTTTTACTACCAAGTACAATTTATAATGAATTTCGTATTTAATTTTTAAGCATTCTTTTTTGGTTTAACAATTTTATCCATATAATAGGTTAGGTTCCAACTTATAAAATAAAAATTAAAAAAAAAAATTAAAACGCCGGATATTTTTAATATATGGTTCAAAATTACTAGAATTCTTTGAAAATATAACCATTTATAATAAACGAATATAATAACTTTTGGTATAATTCTAACTTTTACGTTTTTCTACGTTTTTCTAAAAGATGCTACTCTTGATACTGGGACAAAATTTCTAAAAGAAAATTAAAGTTTAAAATAACAAAATCGATAATGACGTGGCGTAGCGGGCTATAAATATTTGTCCGTTATTTCTGTGCATTTTTCAAGTTCTTCCCAATTATCATGAAAACCTTTTGAAAAATTAAAGAATTGACTCTTCAATGCACCAACTAAATACAATATTTAAAAAAAAAATAAGCACACTACATATATTTTTGTAAAAATATTATAATATTGTAAATAGAATCTAAAAATGAAAATAAAGAGGATAAAACTATTAAATATCAAATTAATAACCATTAAATCTATAACTATAAGATTTAATGTGTCAATAATATTAGTTTTAACTAAAGGTTTTTCTATGACTATTAGATTTCATTAATATTTCCTATATATGTATATTGTATAAAATAATAAAATATTAATGTTTATTTTACTTTAATAATAACTGAACTGCATAAAGTTCACCCGTTTAATATGTAGGTATATAATACAATCCACTGTGATAACACAAATTATAATAATGGATTTGAATCTAAAATATGCTCTTAAAAATACTTGATTGTACAATATTATAATGATTACTTTTTATAATATAATAATATTATTATGCTCTTACCAACACACGATACTAGAATTATTTAAATAAAAACAATATTTATTATCAAAGGTTTTCATGTTATTATTTTGTTTGTTATAAATAAATTTTTTTTTAAATAATATGAAAGATTTATTTTAAAATTATTATATATGTCTTTGTTTCTATGACGATTCCGTACGCACCTTTTTCACTATTAAAATTGTATATGGTTTACCTGCGTCAATGTATTGCAACGCCGCGGTTGCACCCTCTTGATACCCATTAACTATCAAGGATTGCGTTCGCTCTATCATTATTACTACGGTCGTTTAAAAAGTAGGCGCACTGTTATGAATTTGTTCGACTATGGTGTTATAAGGGGCTCCAAGTCGTCATCAACGTTATTACAACAGCACATTGTATAAACAAATACTTGTAGTTTATATGCTGTAGAAGCTGGAACGTTACGGAATTTTGAGTACCCAATTTGATTGTATTAATATTTATTATAATAATGATAAGCTAATAATAAACTATTATTGGTCGTCAGCGCACTGTTGCAATAAATCGTGAAGTGTTGGTTTCAATTTAACCATGAACGTCACTTGGGCATTTTTTTATGAGGGGGCAAATTTTATTTTATGTCGGTATACCTGAAGACTTATACAAGTTAAATATGATTAATAATAGTATTACAAAGTTACATAATCTTATAACAATCGATTATGGAAATTAATTAAAGTCTTCTTTCTCTTTGTGTCGAAACTGCAATAAACTAAACAATAATTGTATCGAAATTTGTTTTAAATGGTTTTATAATAAGTAAGGTAACAATGTTATTAAGTCTTTATTGTTCAATAGAATTTCTCGTAATTATTATGAGGCGACGAAAAAATGAAACCAAACATTCGTTTGAAGCAGAACGCACAATTATTTTGCTTATACTAATAACAAATTGATTATATTATATAAACATATTTTATTGTACGTTGTAGGTATGTAAACTTTGTAAATCTAAATTTTCATGCTTAGCAACCTAACATTAATTTAGGGCCAGGTATAAAAAAATGTTCTACATGTAAGAATAAACAGGTTCGGGTAGTAATTATTGAAAGTGACCAACGTACGAAATCGTATACATTTTACGATTACAAATCAATTTTACTTGAACAGAATGAAGCTGGTTCTTTATTTCCTATCCAATTCGTTTCTATTTAAAAATAATAAAAATAATAAAATTATAATATAAGGTTAGTAAATATCCGTATAGGCGTAACACGTTTTCACCAAAATAGACCTTTTCCTTTTCCTTCATTACCTGTTTCCACCAAATGTTTACCTTCCCCTTTTCACCAATACTTGTTTCAACCAAATGAGAAAAATGACCGAATTATAAGAATGGATAATTGGAAGGTAACATGATAATGCGTTTAATCAAATAATATAGAAAATATTTTTATTAAACCAAAATGTTGTTTTAAATTTCAAGTATGATTTTGGGAAAAGTATATCTTAGAGTTAAAAAAAAAATATATCAACCGGGTAATTATAAAAGTATATTGTACAATATACATAACTAAGGGTGCGCTGTAAATGTACGGAAAATAATCGAACGGTTCGTTATTGTACAGAATTTGTACATAATCTTGCGGATTATCATTTTACGGAAATGAAAATCACACATCGTAATGGTACAGACCGTCAAATGACAGAATTTAATAAAATATCCTGAATAGTAATATGANAACTCCGGAACGTAAAATAACAGAAAGTAATACAGCGGACCGTTAAATTACGGAAAATGCATGAACCGTCACGAGGATAATAAGTTGCATAAGCAATATAAGAGGACGTGATCCCCCAAAGCTGTTCGCGTGCAACGCACGAAAGAGCGTTGCGCGCACCGTATCACTACCGTTGCGAAATAATTATTTATCAATGATTTACGCGGAAAAACAGTTTTACGCAAAACAGAACCATTCTTTTAATAATTATAATAGATTGGCCATTTATTTTTTTGTTTTAATAAGGAAAAGATTGTCTGTGCCGTAGCATTTCCATTTTCCAATAACTTATCTCAATAATTTTATATTCGTAAACAAAAAACTTGAAATATTTATAAACTTTAAAAATTAATATTTTTAAACCTTTTTGTACCAACCAAAAAAAAAATTCTATTTCACAGCTAAAGTTCTTCTTACTAAAATAAAAAAAAAAAAATTGTCGGTCTATCATAAGTAATAACAATATGGTTCTGTTACTCTACAACTATGTTCCTACATTCAAATTATGGGTGTAACGTCCTCTTAATTCTTTTTTAAATTTTATCAGTGGAAATAAAAAATAAAAGTAAACTGTTCACTTCTTAAATACATTATTTAATATTATATATAATATAAAAAATAAAATAATAGTATATAATATAATATAATAATAATATACCTACTTCCAATTTCGGTAAAGAATTTAGTTTTAACAGCGTTCACACGATTCAAATATTCTTCGTCTGTAATAAAAAAATATTATTACAGTTTTATTTGATTGATGCAATACAATTAATATACCTATATCAGTTATATTATAGTTTTTAATTTTTCATTTGAAATACCTACAAACAACTGACACTTAACCACTAAATATGGCATAAAAATTAAAAGCAAAGAGTTGACCCGAATAATAATTTTATTTAAGGAACTTACTCAATTTTATGCTGGATTCTCCAGATTGTCTATTTGCTATACAGAATACATATGTTTATCAGAATTAAGTGAATTAAAAATTGTTATAAATACGTTATAAAGTCTAATCAATGAGTAATCAGAGTATTTGTACAACTAATGAAAAACCTAAAATAATTCACGCCATAAGTGTAGATTACTCTTATTTGGGTTAAATTGGAACCGTAAATAGGGTAGTTAATATACTGGAGAAACAATGGTAAACCATTATAATTAAACAACTATTGTGTGGATTAACAGTAATAGTTGTATGTTTCTATTGTATAACAGAGAAATCAACAACATTAATCCTGTACTGTTGTTTATTATTAGGTTTTAATTTTTTTTTTCTTTGGATTACTCTTCGATATTTTGAAAAATGTTTTAAATTAAGTACCGTCTACAATTTGTTAAAAATTGTCACTATTTTTAAGGGTACGATGTGAACAATTTGAAGTATTTTTCTTTAATAAAATAATGTTTTCCGAGAAAATAAATGATTTAGAGGTTTAATTTATACATATTTCTAAATACGTTTTAAATAAAGAACCATATTTATACCAACAACAGTATTCCACCTATATTGTGAAGTATATAGATTTTTTTTTTTTTATTAAACTTAAAAATATAGAAATGAATTTCGGTAGCGAGTAGATATAGTATAATATATCGATAATTTAAGCAAATAATTACATTTATTCTACATACTTGATCCAAAAAAAACTTGTTCCACAGATCTATGAGCGTATCTATCTATAAAATAAAAATATTATTAATTTGTTAATTTGATATTTTTATTCAATACATTTTTAAATTAGCTAAAAATTTATATCCGTAAAACATATTTCATGAGAGTATGCATACAATTAGTAGTGAACAAGTGAGGGTGAAGAGGGCATTTACCCCCCCCCCCCGCATCGGTCGTATAAATATGTACGACAACATGTGTGAATTTTTTTCATGAAGTCGTTAATAATATGATAATTAGGACTCGGATTACGATGCGCTATTTAATTTTTTTTCAGAGGTTGCTGTACGCTGCTCATCTGGTTACAAATCTATAACATGTACTTTTGAATGAGAAAAAGAAAATTTATTTTGCATTTTTTTACAATATTTGATTTTACGTCATTTATAAAAATTTTAATACATTATTGGAGTTTTTGGATCGAAAATTGAAACTTGGAATTTTATTTTAAAATTTTACACGCAAACGCAAGTTTTATAAAAATGTTTGTATTTTTTTTTTTTACATAACAAACAATAAAGGAGGTACCTACTCGTTTCTCGTATCGTAGAAAAACTTAGATGACAAGTTTGTAATCGGCGGCGTGACAAAGTGTATTTAGAATCACTATAATATATTTATTTGTTTAATAATCTGTCAGAGCAATAAAATCGATATCGTGTATTACAAGTTAGCTGTCGTAAGTTGTAACACGCATGCATTTAGTTTCAATTATTTCATGTGGTTTTAAATAAAAATAAAGGATTTAAAATCATTTCCGATGTGTCAGATATTTTGAATAGGCAAGAAGTCACAACAAAGGAAATTCCGGATGATATAACAGTCAATGATTTGGCGTTCTTTAAATATTCACCTATTACTTTGGCAGACGTTGAAAGAAGCTTCTCTATTTACAAAAATTTACTGGCGGATAAAAGAAGATCGTTTTTATTCGAAAATCTTAATCAATATCTGGTGATTCAGTGTTTAGTTCAAAGTATACAGGTAAATAAATATATGATCCGAATCTATCAAAATAGTTATAAAAAAGTATATGGAAATTATTGTTTTTTCAGATTAAAAGAAATCCAAGTTGGTGATATCCTGAAGTTTAACCTAAAAAAATCCTAAAGTTTAGTCAATAGAAAATATTTTATTTTAATTTAATTAATTTAATAAAATATTATTTAAAATGTATACAAAATTTATTAATAATACATACAATTTACCTGCATTTGTTTAGTGCATTATTTAGAATTTTTACGGCATTAAAGAATAATTTAGGGCCTTATAAGGCATTATATTCTCAGCCGTAATAATAATTAATAATATAATCAGTCAGAGATTTCAGAATATTTTTGTTATCTATGGTCGAACTAGGTGAAAATACATTTTGTTTTGGCTGTTTGACGTTGTCAATCATAGATAATAAAAACATGTGATCATATATAATATAATATAATATAATAATTGTTATAATTATTAATCCTTGATCTTTAGGCACGAACTAAGATATACAGGATACCGAATGAAAAGGTCTTATCAATGTTTTTCTGAATCTGCCCAGTTCTCACTGTTTGGCAAGACAGATAACACTTTTAAGACAAAGTTGGTATAAAAATCAACTATAACCAGTTTAAAGTCTAGAATGGAGGAACCCTAGTGTAATAAAGTGCATATCCATTCTATCACGGCCTTAGAATATTCTAAAATAAACATTGATATAGTTTGCAAAGAGTATTTAGTTAGAGTATTTAGTTGTAGTTTGCCTTATAAAAAAGTGAGAAGATTTGATCTTTATTTATCATATATTCGATCGGTATCCTATACAACTTATTTCGTGTCTGTGGTTCGATCGTTGTCTCTTATCATTGATTTCTAACTAAGAAAACATTTTACTTGTACCTGATATGTAAAATTATAGTTAACATTCAACATTAAACGATTTTCTCGTATGAAAAACCGGAGGTTAGACTTTGTGTTTATAATACAATTTATTATAAAATTATTTTATAACATGCATTATATGATATTATATTAAACAACAATTTCATTTTTATGT